GACCAATGTGCAAGAGGTCTTGCATTCAACCACTGGTATGCAGGTTCATCTCTTTCTTTGATCTCAGTCATCACCCACTTAAAATCCTGCACTCTAGATGCCCTAGCAACTTTCCACAACAACTTTTCCAATGCAAGCCCTTTATGTTGGGCTTTGAAATTGTAGTACAAATGTTGAACGCAAAATCTGTGTTCAGTACCAGGCAGTAGGGTGTCAACTGCTTCAAATAAACCCTTTTGCTTGTCAGACATGAATGTCCAATGGTAAGGGTTTCTAATACTTAAGTCTTGTATCAGAAACTGTAAAAACCACCCCCAAGACTTCTTCTTTTCCTTTTCCACCACAACATAAGCAAATGGGAACATCCCATTGTTTGGGTCTATGCCAACTGCAGTTAGAAGGACACCACCCATTGCAGTTCTCAAATGACAACCATCAAGAAATACAACAGGTTTACATCCATGCAATAAACCATCTCTAAGTGGACCCCAACAAATGTACATTCTCTTAAAAAGGTTCTTATCACATACTCTTTTACATTTTATCTTCACTATGGTATTAGGACTTGACAACCTAATTTCACTGGCATAAGACCACAACAATGCATATTGTTCAGGAGTAGCCCCAGATCCACTAGTCAATCTCTGTACAATTGACTTTTGTTGAAAAGAAGCTTATGTTCCCCTTGCACTATCTTCATCATGGACTCCACAGGCCACTTAGGATCAGTCCATATTTTCTCTCTATATGTATCTGCTAGCCACCTAGAGTTTGCATGAGAAACCATCTGTTTTCTAGGTCATTTGTGCTTAGGTTCATACTTTCTCAACTGAACACTATCCTCATCAGGCAACTAAGCAGCATACATAATCTAAGAAAAAGTTGTGTGCTTACATTTAACTTGTACATTGGTTCTCTCATTAATGCTAAAAACTACATCCTTCCCATTCTTGATAGCATATTGTCTAACTGCTTTTCTAAACAAAGACATGTCTGTAAAAAACATGCCTAACTCAAAAATAGAGTTTGAAATGTTTTATTTCTCATTGAAAACATTATGACCTTTATGTTTATCCTTTGTTTTGCTGCCTATGGACTCAACATGGGGTCTGCACACACCTTCAGTCCTACCTGAACTTATGCCCCCAAACTCAACATCACTATCAATGTTTTCATCAAACATGAAATCATCATCAGCAGCAGATACATCACAATCACTGTCCATGAAAACATTAGAGTGACTAGATCTGAACCCCAAGTTGTAGTTTCATGTTCCACACATAAACCCACCAACCTACTATCATTCACCATTTGCCCATTCTGAGTACATCTCTATCATCATTCAAGACAAGCAAATTACTGCAGTAGCTATCATCTCCTTGTGTGCAGTGAACTTGTTTCACTCCATTCACGTCTAACTCTTCTAACATACTCATAATCTCAACTAAAGAAATTTCATCAGGATGGCAATAGTCAATATATGCAACTGCCAAGTAGTACGTATTGCCCAAATTCAGAAATTCCCCAGAATGATAAACTCTAACATCTCAGATTGGGGACCTGTTGATAATAAAAAAAAAAACAAAGGGAATTAAAAAAAATTATCATTTTTCTACCCACTGAACAAATAACAAATTAAAAAAACACAGATTATTAATCGAACGAA